TATGTAATGGCTTAATGACTTAAAATGTAATGACTTATTGACTTAAAATTTAATGACTTAAAATGTAATGACTTAATGACTTAAAATTTAATGACTTAAAATTTAATGACTTAATGACTTAAAATTTAATGACTTAAAATGTAATGACCCAATGACTTAAAATGTAATGACTTAATGACTTAAAATTTAATGACTTAATGACTTAAAATGTAATGATTTAATGACTTCAAATGTAATGACTTAAAATGTAATGATTTCATGACTTAAAATGTAATGACTTCATGACTTAAAATGCAATGTCTTCATGACTTAAAATGCAATGACTTCAAACGTAATGACTTAATGACTTAAAATTTAATGACTTACAATGTAAGACTTAATGACTTAAAAATATAATGACTTAAAATGTAATGAGTTAATGACTTAAAATGTAATGACTTAATGACTTAAAATTTAATGACTTAATGACTTAAAATGTAATGACTTAATTAATTAAAATGTAATGACTTCATGACTTAAAATTGAATGACTTATTGACTTAAAATTGAATGACTTAAGATGTAATGATTTAATAACTTAAAATGTAATGACTTAATGACTTTAGATTTAATGACTTAAAATATAATGACTTAATGACTTAAAATTTAATGACCTAATGACTTAAAATGTTATGACTTAAAATGTAATGACTTAATGACTTAAAATGTAATGGCTTAATGACTTAAAATGTAATGATTTAATGACTTAAAATGTAATGACTTATTGACTTAAAAATTAATGACTTAAAATGTAATGTCTTAATGACTTAAAATGTAATGACTTAATGACTTAAAATTTAATGACTTAATGACTTAAAATTTAATGACTTAATGACTTAAAATGTAATGCATACAAAAAAGGATCAGTATTATTATTTTTATCTGAGAAAAGGGTTGTGTGTGTGTTTGGGGAGGGGGGCGGGATTGCTAAGTGTTAAAAGAAATAAGTGTATTTTTATCCCTTACCCATCTTATTAACTAGGCATTAGAAATGCATGTGAATATTAGGGCAACCTAGCTAAGGAACAGTAGGGCTACCAGCCTGTAGAACTTTAGGGCAATCTAACTATAGAGGAGAAGAGCAACCTAGCTATAGAAAAGTAGGGCTACCAGCCTGTAGAGCAGTAGGGCAACCTAACTAAAGAGGAGTAAGGTAACCTAGCTATAGAGGAGTTGAGCTATGTAGCTCTTAAAAGAGTGAGGGGCAAGAGTGGGAGCTCCGAGTTCCATTCCATATCCCTGGTTATAAATCAATCACTTCCATGATTCAATCACATCAGTATCAATCAAAGGTTCAATCACAGATTCCATCACATCAGTATCAATCACAGATTCCATCACATCAGTATCAATTACAGATTCCATCACTACACAAATTTTGAAGGGAATTAGGTTACAGATATGTGTATTGTAGTTCTAATACAGTTCATTAAAAAATCAGTTGTTCCATCCTTTAGAATATTGTGTACTATATTTTTAAATTATTACAACTTTAAAATAATAATGCATTTGGTCCTTCAATTTATATCTGTAAAAGTCAAATCCTCCTCACTACAGGAAAGAACTATTCTTATGATCAAAACCAGCAGAAGTGACAGAAGTTTCCTGTCCAAGTCTGTTTTGCCATACAATAAACAAAGCTCAAAGGTTTGGGATAGACTTTTAAAATGTCTATAGTGGATTCAATAAATGTCTAAGTCTCAGAATCATCTGTTGACCCCAGAATAATATTTTGATGAGCATTAGAAAATCTGAGTGGATGTTTTCAGATGATTTCTTTGACAGCTCAAGAGGTTCAGGAGGAAACGTTCTGCTCACGTTCAAGGTCAAGTTTATCACATAGTTGCAAGTGTGTCAATTTTATGCCATAGTGACAAGTGTGTTAAGTTTATCACATAGTTGCAAGTGTGTTAAGTTTATCTCATAGTTGCAAGTGTGTTAAGTTTATCTCAACTAAATCCCTAATTTTTAGACTGATGATTTGTTGAAAATAATGGAAAAGAAGCTGTAGTTCAGTCTAATCTCTTTTCTATTGTAATGTCCGGATAAGTCAACTTTAAAAAAATAGCTGTCTGATCACAATCTAGAAAAAAAAGATTGTAAAATAGCAATGGAAAGCGTTCCAGGCCAGGAGTTTAATATTGTTACTCATGCAGAGAAAAACCTGCAGTTGGAAAGATGGGTCAATGTAATGGCTGGACATAGGGGTCAATGTAATGGCTGGACATAGAGGTCAATGTAATGGCTGGACATAGGGGTCAATGTAATGGCTGGACATAGAGGTCAATGTAATGGCTGGACATAGGGGTCAATGTAATGGCTGGACATAGGGTTCAATGTAATGGCTGGACACAGGGTTCAATGTAATGGCTGGACACAGGGGTCAATGTAATGGCTGGAAATAAGGGTCAATGTAATGGCTGGACATAGAGGTCAGTGTAATGGCTGTACATAGGGGTCAATGTAATGGCTTGACATAGGGTCAATGTAATGGCTGGACATAGAGGTCAATGTAATGGCTGGCCATAGGGGTCAATGTAATCGCTAGACATAGAGGTCAGTGTAATGCTGGACATAGTGGTCAATGTAATGGCTGGACATAGGGGTCTATGTAATGGCCAACACCAAGTGAGGTGACTGGTAATTGTGGGCTGGAGTTTGAAAAGGGAATACATTATTTTTCACAGCTGAGACACTTGATGCGGATGAGCAGCGCAATTCATCATGTTTACAATGCTTCCCAGTAATCTCTTATGTTCTGCCATGGAGATCATGGTTGCTGCATCCATCGGTGCGATCCAAGGTTGCAGTGTATTTCTTGATGGGAATGGTCCTCAGCTTAAAATTTTTAACAGCTCATTTTAGAATTTGATGCAAAGATACACAACTGTTACATTTTAACAAAATTGTTTCATTAGATTGTGAAAATGTTTACACTATAATTTCTAGTTCAGTGTTTGTTTGCCAATCCAAATTGTATTTCACGATTCATCTGTTACAGGAAAGAAGACTAACTTTGTCCTTCCTAGTCTCGCCTATCAATTCGTCAAACTGTTTGTCACTTTGGTAGCAAAAAATATTAATTTTAACCCTTATTTTTTATGTGAGAAAAAGGTAGACAATTTTTGATCAACAACATGTCCTAACCTGCTTATGATAACCGATTTAATCCAATAAATGATTTTTTTTGTACCAATATATTTATTGATTGTACTTTTAACTAAATTTGATTAATTTCTCTGTCCATTGAGTTTCTTCTGTATTTTAACACTAGTTTAATTTCAATTCAATTGTAGCAGTGAAGCTATAATTTAATAATGACTGCTGACAATAGACTTTTGTTGTGTGACGTCATTACTCAAATGGGGTAAACGTATTTAATTGTCTAAAATTTTTCATTTACCACTTAATGTTCTTAGATTTTTCATTTACCACTTAATGTTCTTAGATTTTTCATTTACCACTTAATGTTCTTAGATTTTTCATTTACCACTTAATGTTCTTAGATTTTTCATTTACCACTTAATGTTCTTAGATTTTTCATTTACCACTTAATGTTCTTAGATTTTTCATTTACATTTAATGTTCTTAGATTTTTTCATTTACCTCATAATGTTCTTAGATTTTTCATTTACCACTTAATGTTCTTAGATTTTTCATTTACCACTTAATGTTCTTAGATTTTTCATTTACCACTTAATGTTCTTAGATTTTTCATTTACATTTAATGTTCTTAGATTTTTTCATTTACCTCATAATGTTCTTAGATTTTTCATTTACCACTTAATGTTCTTAGATTTTTCATTTACCACTTAATGTTCTTAGATTTTTCATTTACCAATTAATGTTCTTAGATTTTTCATTTACCACTTAACGTTCTTAGATTTTTCATTTACCACTTAATGTTCTTAGATTTTTCATTTACCACTTAATGTTCTTAGATTTTTCATTTACCACTTAATTTTCTTAGATTTTTCATTTACCACTTAACGTTCTTAGATTTTTCATTTACCACTTAATGTTCTTAGATTTTTCACTTACCACTTAATGTTCTTAGATTTTTCATTTACCACTTAGATTTTTCATTTACCACTTAATGTTCTTAGATTTTTCATTGACCACTTAATCTTCTTAGATTTTTCATTGACCACTTAACGTTCTTAGATTTTTCATTGACCACTTAACGTTCTTAGATTTTTCATTTACCACTTAATGATCTTAGATTTTTCATTTACCACTTAATGTTCTTAGATTTTTCATTTACCTCTTAATGTTCTTAGATTTTTCATTTACCACTTAATGTTCTTAGATTTTTCATTTACCACTTAATTTCCTTAGATTTTTCATTTACCACTTAATGTTCTTAGATTTTTCATTTACCACTTAATGTTCTTAGATTTTTCATTTACTACTTAATCTTCTTAGATTTTTCATTTACCACTTAATGTTCGTAGATTTTTTAATTACCACTTAATGTTCTTAGATTTTTCATTTACCACTTAATGTTCTTAGATTTTTCATTTACCACTTAATGTTCTTAGATTTTTCATTTACCACTTAACGTTCTTAGATTTTTCATTTACCACTTAATGTTTTTAGATTTACCACTTAATGTTCTTACTCCATAAAAAGTTATCTCCTAAATCAAACAATCAGTCTTTTTGGAAGCCTGCATAAAATATGGATGGCTCCTAATAGCTGCAGATATGGTGATGAGCCTAATTATTTTGTTGTTTTAGCTAACAGCATTTCTGTTTCAACCAAGAATTTATGGGACTTGAAATTAATTTAACATCCATAAAAGTACAAATCATAATATTGAATGAGCATTCTTAAGATATTTGCATAACCGGATTAACATATTGAATGAGCATTCTTTAGATATTTGCATAACCGGATTAACATATGTTTAACATAAGAATACAGTCTTATACTCATTTTTATTTTGCTTTAAATGTTACAGGTATCATTACATAACGTTTTTACGCAACCCAGTCAGCCGGTTTTTAAGTGAGTGGCAGCATGTAAAAAGAGGAGCCACCTGGAAGGCTGTAAGGCTTCATTGTAACGGTCGAGATGCAACTCTTGATGAAGTGCCTTTTTGTTTTCACGGCTCGGACTGGTCAGGCGTGTCCTTCGATGAGTTCATTTCTTGCAAGTATGTTATATCCAAGTACCTAATAAAGACAAAAATTACAATATCAACCTTACCTACAGAAAGTAGAAAAGTTAAATTTTTGACACCTTCTCTCCTCCAACAACCACTACCACAGTTACAATGCCATTACACTACCACAGTTCCAATACTCTAACACTACCACAGTTTAGATGCCATCACACTACCACAGTTTAGATGGCACCACACTGCCACAGTTCAGATGCCATTACACTACCACAGTTCAGATGCCATCACATTACCACAGTTCAGATGCCATTACACTACCACAGTTCAGATACCACCACATTACCACAGTACAGATGCCACCACACTACCACAGTTCAGATGCCATTACACTACCACAGTTCAGATGATATCACATTAAACATTTCATATGCCATTACACTACCACAGTTCAGATGATATCACATTAAACATTTCATATGCCATTACACTACCACAGTTCAGATGCTATCACATTAACACAGTTCAGATGCCATCACATTACCACAGTTTAGATGCCATTACACTACCACAGTTCAGATGCCATTACACTACCACAGTTCAGATACCACCACATTAACACAGTTCAAATGCCACCACACTACCACAGTTCAGATGCCATTACACTACCACAGTTCAGATGCCACCACATTACCACAGTTCAGATGCCACCACACTACCACAGTTCAGACGCCATTACACTACCACAGTTCAGATGCAATCACATTAACACAGTTCAGATGCCACCACATTACCACAGTTCAGATGCCACCATACTGCCACAGTTCAGATGCCATTACACTACCACAGTTCAGATGCCATCATATTACCACAGTTCAGATGCCACGACATTACCACAGTTCATATGCCATTACACTACCACAGTTCAGATGCTATCACATTAACACAGTTCAGATGCCATCACATTACCACAGTTTAGATGCCATTACACTACCACAGTTCAGATGCCATTACACTACCACAGTTCAGATGCCACCACATGACCACAGTTCAGATGGCACCACATTACCACAGTTCAGATGCCATTACACTACCACAGTTCAGATGCTATCACATTAACACAGTTCAGATGCCATCACATTACCACAGTTTAGATGCCATTACACTACCACAGTTCAGATGCCATTACACTACCACAGTTCAGATGCCACCACATGACCACATTTCAGATGGCACCACATTACCACAGTTCAGATGCCATTACACTACCACAGTTCAGATGCTATCACATTAACACGGTTCAGATGCCATCACATTACCACAATTTTGATGCCATTACACTACCACAGTTCAGATGCCACCACATTACCACAGTTCAGATGCCACCACATTACCACAGTTCAGATGCCACCACACTACCACAGTTCAGACGCCATTACACTACCACAGTTCAGATGCTATCACATTAACACAGTTCTGATGCCAATCACATTACCACAGTTCAGATGCCATTACACTACCACAGTTCAGATGCCATCAAAATACAACAGTTCAGATGCCATCACTGAGTTAAATTCACAAAGCTAGGGCAGTGAATATACAATACCAAACTATTATTTAAACTTTAACCTTAGTTTAAATGTGTCGTATACCATTACTAAGAAAGGACTCCATAGTTCACTCATTGACTAACCAATGCCTCCATAGTTCAGTGGTCCGACGGGTAGGCCAAAAAAAAATTACAAACTGTTAGCGTCATAAAGGATAGGAAAACACTATTGGGACAAGTTAATTTTCTTAAAGACTGTTGACTATCAGTTGATGATTTCTTTATAACAAAATAGTTCCATCTGATGTCTAAATCAATTGGAATGGCCAAGTTGAAATTATTTTTTATCCAATGTATAACATGATGACCAAAGCAAGAGAATACAAACTTGATTGAAGTGCAGTGGAACCCCATTTATAATGTGATAATGGCATCATCGGGTTGTGGTGTTGATGTAGGACTACTTCAGTGACTTAGTGAGCTATGTGGTGTTGATGTAGGACTACTTCAGTGACTTAGTGAGCTATGTGGTGTTGATGTAGGACTACTTCAATGACTTAGTGAGCTATGTGGTGTTGATGTAGGACTACTTCAATGACTTAGTGAGCTATGTGGTGTTGATGTAGGACTACTTCAGTGACTTAGTGAGCTATGTGGTGTTGATGTAGGACTACTTCAGTGACTTAGTGAGCTATGTGGTGTTGATGTAGGACTACTTCAATGACTTAGTGAGCTATGTGGTGTTGATGTAGGACTACTTCAGTGACTTAGTGAGCTATGTGGTGTTGATGTAGGACTACTTCAATGACTTAGTGAGCTATGTGGTGTTGATGTAAGACTACTTCAATGACTTAGTGAGCTATGTGGTGTTGATGTAGGACTACTTCAATGAATTTGTTATTGTGCTGGAGTACAAACTTTTTTCAACGTATTTAAAAACAAAAGAAATGTGAATAAATTGATGATTAATGGTCATCATGCTAAGCTCTTGATTAACATGAATGCCTGTGCTATTAACTCCATATGACATACATGCCTCTGCTATGATCACCATATGACATACATGCAAGTGCTATGACCACCATATGACATACATACTTGCTCTAGGACCACCATATGACATAGATGCAAGTGGTATGACCACCATATGACTTACATGCAAGTGTTATGACCACCATATGACATGCATGCCTGTGCTTTGACCACCAAATGACATGCATGCCTGTGCTATGACACCATATGACATACATTCTTGCTCTATGACCACTATATGACTTACATGCAAGTGCTATGACCACCAAATGACATACATTCTTGCTCTATGACCACCATATACCTGTGTTTTGACCACCATATGACATACATGACTGTGCTTTGACCACCATATGACATGCATTCATGTGCTATGACCACCATATGACATACATGCCTGTGCTATGACCACCATATGTCATGCATGCCTGTCCTATGACTAACAGTTGTTGGGAGAGATTTGGTCATGATATTTCTCTTATTTACCATCTTTTTGGTGCTTGACCAGACTAATAAATAATACATTAAAACTTTCTCTTGGCTTTCTTCAGGCACAACTTAGCCTTCAATCGCATGACTCGGATGTTGGCCAATCTTTCAAAAGTCAACTGCTACAACAGAACAGGAATGAATGAAAAGCTGGTTCAAGAGATTATTCTTCAAAGTGCTAAAGAAAATCTGTTAAACGTTGCATTTTTTGGCATTGTGGATGAGCAGGAAAAAACACAATTTTTATTTGAACAAACATTTGGCATAAAATTTATTGAAAATCTGAAACAGAAAGAAATAACTCATGTTTCTCAACTGGAACTTGACAAAGGAATGGAACAAAGGATTCTAGAAACAAATAGTTTAGATGTTCTCTTTTATGAGTTTGCCAGAGATTTATTTCTTCAGCGAGTTGAGGAGATGGAAAATAGACAAGGCTACAGCGTACGTGAATATTTTCATCATGTACGAGATTCTATTCAAAGTGCCAGTATAAATGATATGACAAATAATGAAGCTTCTGATGAGGATAATGAAGATGCAGGGGAAGAAGAAGAAAAACTGATGTCTTACCCCAGCAAAGGTACCGCTGATACTTCCATGTTAGGCAAAACTAAGAGGTGATGTGTTACATGTTAATTCTATACGGATCAGTGTTTGTGATAATTCTATTAAATATTTTATTTTAAAAACTATTTTGAAAGCACATGTTTTATGTATTGAAGCTTCTCTACCACTTTCAATGTCTTCCTCTGTGTGCTTGGTGTCGTGTTATGTATTTAAAAAGATTTAATTGTTCAACCATGTGAACTCATTGACCTAGATCAAATTGATCAACCATGTGAACTCATTGACCTAGATCAAATTGTTCATCCATGTGAAATCACTGACCTAGATCAAATTGTTCAACCACATGAACTCATTGACCTAGATCAAATTGTTCAACCATGTGAACTCATTGATCTAGATGAAAGGGTTCAACCATGTGAACTCATTGACCTAGATCAAATTGTTTTTAACATTTACTACAAATTAATAAACTAACTATGCTGGCTCTTGATTATAAGCCTAGTAATTTAAAAAATTGTTTTGTATTCAATTATTTTGCACTATCCAGTAATAAAAAAGGCCTGTAATAATCTTAAATGGAGTATCTGCTTTTACAAATGCATTTAAAATAATTTATGGCTTTGACTAAGTTTGACTAAGTTCGATTTGTCTGACAAATTTTTCACTAGTTTTAGAATATGAAAAAGTATGGTTCTACCTCACTCTTACAAACATACAGATATATATATATATACATACATATATATATATATAGATATAGATATAGATATATATAGATACATATAGATATATATATGTATATATATATATATATAGATATATATATGTATATATA